ATATAACTGTACCACATTACCATCTAACGGATCACAACAGAATGCTCACGAATGCGGACTTATATCCTTTTACTGCTTCATACTAGACCAATAAACAAAGAGTTTATTCTTTAAATCTCACCAGTACAACAACTAACAAAACAACAACAAAGTAACTACAAATATTTCTACAACGGCGGCAGACTATGCTATTCAGCAGCCTCAGACGGAGCGGTTGATGCCGTCGCCTTGCGTCTTGATCGCTTTCTTTTGCCACTGGCTGTGCGGACTCCTGTTTTCACAGGCACTACGGTATCGGAAACTTTTTTCTTCTTCTTACAGGAAAGCGGATTAGCGCCCTTGAATTGAGTCCATGCTGAGTGCAAACTATTACAGAAGAGGAGAATGAGGTAGAACCTACCTTTATCTTCCTTTTCTTCTTTTTGACATTTTGTTCGCCTAACACAGCAGCCTTAATTGCTTTCAAACTTTCGAGCTCGCTTTTGTGTATGTCATCCACAGCCGCTATTGACGTCTGAAAGGGGATATTACGGTCCAGATTCTATCTACGACACAGTGTCTTGACAAGACAACCGCGGTAGGGTTATCGGAGGGCAAAATGAGAGCCTCTCCGAGCCTCAACGACACAACAAACGTTACTATAAGCGTTACTACCTCCGATACTCGATCCAATAGAATGGCATTGTATTTTATGTAAAGAATGGGCGTTCCAGCAATTGTGCGCAACTTTTCCGAAAGCGAATCATCCTGAAAAGGCAAACGAATTGGGGTAAAGAAAGGAATTCAATTGAATTTCCAATAATTGGTGTTTTAGCTTTGGAAACTATGCCGTGCGGCATCGCGACATGGGTCTCCTGACGCACATCCAATTGATGCCGGTTGCCATATAAGTAGCAAAACTAAAGTCACAGAAAGTAAGAAGAATCACGACATACTTACATTAGTGGCAATAACATATTTAGTCTTCCCTTTCGCAGCACGACGAGCAAGATGCGCGAGGCAATCCGCTGCCGGGCGACTTGGTGTATGTGGACAAACGTCCACCTCGAACTGACGAGCAATAACAAGCGCTCCATAAACAGGGGAGCCAAGAGACTCTAAATATTAGTCTTTTCCGTACATGAGATAGTGCCAGAAGCTTTGTGGTCGAGCGAGCAACAAACAAACAAATAAACAAAAAGGCGAGTGAGAACATTTACACTTCCTGAGTGCATTTCAGGCACTCAAAAT